CGCCACCACACTCCCAAGCGGCGCACTATAGCAGTGCGCCACCGGGCCGGCCCTTCTGGCAAATTTCTGTAACCAGAGTAGGAAATATAGAAAAAAAAAATGTGATTGGCAAACCTTTATAATAAATAAAAATTACTCAACCAGTACAGTTTTATGATATAATGTTAGAATTGATCTTTAACCTTCATATTTCAAAACATCTTACTTAAAGTTTAACAAAGTGAAAATACATTAAATCCATGGAAACATACCATTATGTTAAGAAGAAAAGAAATGAACTTTTATGGACTACTCCAATGAGAAATGATCTCAGAGTTCCAAACAAAGCCCAGTAAGTGTTAGTGGAAAATTGCACTGCCATTTAGGGCAATAGAAGAAAATTTTGATTTAAGCATGTACTTTTTCATTTTTTTGGTATTTGTTTTATGAATTCTATTAATTGGCGTAGATCTTAAAATACAACTAAGATCAAGCAAGGAATAACTGTTAAATTCTCAATTATAGACAAGGTACCTACCATTTGCAAGGTGAGAAAGACCATGCCTTTGGAAATTAGGCTGCTTTTTAAAGGAGATGCCATGTATCATCTATATGTAGTGAGATAGCAGTTTTGATTAGAGTCATAGATTGTAATTCAGCACTCTAATTTTCATTAAAAAAGTGGAGCTGCAGAGAGGTGGTCACTCTTTTAGGGTCATAAAGCTGGTTTGGGAAAAGTTGAGACACAAAACTGGAGCCCCCAATTCTTACTCAAGTATCCTGTGGCATTTTTTTACTCGCTATGGAAATTCCAAGCAGCCTGTTATTTTGATAAGACAAAATATAACTTCAACTACTAAAAAAAACCCCAAATTCCTAATCCACTTATACTGTTAACAAAAAATTATGGATAGCAAATTAACTTCATTTTCACATGCCTTTAAAAAACATTTTGATGAACACACTAGTAAAAAGTTGACTTGTGAAGAATATAGTGTATAAACATTGGCATACAACTCCCTTCAGAAACAAAATCAAAACCTTGTAACAAAACTCTTTAAATATTTTCTAGATTATAGTTAAGAAACTATAGGGAGTAGAAAGAATAGTAATCTGTTAAATATCATTTGGAATTTTCTCCTGCTTTTTAATATTAAAATTTGGAATGCATCTGAATTTCTTAAATGAGGTTTATCAAAAATCTAATCTCAGGAAATACTTGCAAATAGTTTCCCTTTGCCCATGTTTTACTTTAGAATCTGTACTATTTCTCTAATTAGTTTTCTATTGAGCTTATTTTAATATATTCTACTAGACTTTGAATAAAAGACTGTATTTGTGATATTTATGCCTTAACTTTAAAAATCTGGGAATCCAATTATTCATATGTGAAGATTTTTCTGCCCACTCCTTAAGTGTTTTTTTTTTAGATTGTGGATTAGTTTTGGGACATTTTGTGTTGTCACCATAAGGTACCAGTCTTATAATGACCCGTTTGCCATTATCTATAGTTTAATGAAATTATGGCATATAATATTTTCAAAATCAACTTTTTAAAAAGACCACCTTCCTGAGGGAAATGTGAATGTGACTAGGAGTTTCCAAATAGTTTTAAAACCTCACTCTGCGCTTCATAAATTACCAGTATATTTTGAAAGCATCATTCTGTAACCAGAAATTTAACTGAATAGATAATATTTTGTGTGATGCTGTTGAAATAGCATAAGTAGTGAAAAGTTTTACATCTTTTATGGACTGTTGAGATTGTTTCTGATTGGTTTCAGATTTCTAGTTTGTGGTGTCTCAAAATTTATGCATGTGTAATAGGTATTTTTCTGAAGACACATGAGGTTTACAACAATAATGTTTCCTTATCAAGTCATTTTTTTCAGTGTGGCAGGTTTACTTCAGGCTCAAATCAGTGGATTACTAAAACCCATATTTCTCTCTTGCTTTTCATGATAAATTTAGAAAAGATGAATGAACAAGGAAAATAAGTAAATTTTAATATAATTTATTTAGTAATAACTTGGAAAAACTAATAAAGAAATTGAATAATGACTTGCTATGTTCAGTCTTTGTTAAACTAGAAAATAAAGTTAAAAGCATAAAATGTATTATACAGTTTTTAAAAGCAAAGTGTTCTGTGTGCTGTTGGTACAGGTATAAGTGATTTTTTTAGTTGGTTTTTTTTTTTTGGTGGCTGGTCGGTATGGGGATCCAACCCTTGTCCTTGTTATTGTCAGCATCAAGCTGTAACCAACTGAGCTAAATGGCCAGCCCCCCTTAATTGGCTTTTTATTTTAAAATAAGAAGTGTAAACGTAGATTAAAAATAAATCCTTGGGCCGGCCTGTGGCTCACTCGGGAGAGTGCGGTGCTGATAACACCAAGGCCACGGGTTCGGATCCCATATAGGGATGGCCGGTTGCTCACTGGGTGGGCGTGGTGCTGACGAGCTAAATGGCCAGCCCCCCTTAATTGGCTTTTTATTTTAAAATAAGAAGTGTAAACGTAGATTAAAAATAAATCCTTGGGCCGGCCTGTGGCTCACTCGGGAGAGTGCGGTGCTGATAACACCAAGGCCACGGGTTCGGATCCCATATAGGGATGGCCGGTTTGCTCACTGGGTGAGCGTGGTGCTGACAACACCAAGTCAAGGGTTAAGATCCCCTTACCAGTCATCTTTTTAAAAAAAATAAATAAATAAATCCTACTTATGTGGTGCCTTAGAGTCTGCTATCATTTAATGAAAGTGGTAGTGGGTGGGCAGGTAGGAGAAAAGTTTTACTTGGCTAATATTTCATGGTCTTTGAAATTCTTAATTAGTGATCCCACTTTTCTTAGGAAAAGTTTTTGGTTGTCTCAGATTTATATAGATATACCTATAGTGATTATTAGTTCTCTTAATTTTTGGGAGCAGCTTATTAAGATGAGGTGAGGTACTATCTATATTTTATAACCATGAACATAGAGGTAAAATGTGATAGTAAAAGTATGCCCAGGTATGCTAAGTACTACCAGAACTTTCTCCAACATAATACTTGAAGAAATTATTTGAATACTTCTGAAATATTAACATTTCACATTCCTAAGAGTTTGAATTAATTGTACAGATACAATTACATATGCAGTCAGCCCTTCGTATCTCAGGTTCCACATCCTCAGATTCAGCTATTTGAGGACTGAAAATATTCGGGGGGTGGGGGCAAATACAAAAAACAATACAATAAAAAAAACACAAATAAAACTACAGTATAACACTATTTACATAGCATTTACATTGTATTAGGTATTATAACTAGTCTAGAGATGATTTAAAGTATGTGGGAAGGTGTGCATAAGTTATATGCAAATATTACACCATTTTATATAAGGGACTTGAGCATCCATGGATTTTGGTATCTTGAGGGTGGGGATTCTGGAACCAATACCCTGTGGATATCGAGGGAGGCCTGGTTATGTAGAATACGTAAATAAAATGCAACAGATACTTTTGACTATTTTGTTAGGTTATGAGCTTAAGCTTGTTCCTTTAATTCTTGCTTTGTTTTCATATCATGCTAGTCCTTTGCTTATTTTGCACATTTACGTTTTCATTCTTTTACCACCTTTCCCTTATGTTTTAATCCTGCCCCATTTTTTCACATGACAGGAAAAAGCCCGATCATATCAGGTACCAAATGGCTTTCTTCCCTTCACCCTCATCTTACTCCAGTTTCCTCTTTGGCACGAGAAAGCTCATGATTAACTCGCATTTCAGTTGGATTACTTGCAATGGATAAAAAATCTCTATGTTTTAAATTGGAAATAAAATATAAACATTTTATTTGAGGAATGGAATTATACCTTTTAATTGCATATCTCAATTTCTTTTAATCTGAAAGAGAACATTTGATGTGTTTATAATTACACAAAGAAGATAACACATGGAGTAATATGAATTCCTTTATGTCTTTTTGAAAAGGGGAAATAAGCAGTATACTCTTTAAAAGTTTGAGCAGTAACTAGGATTAGTCCCTTTGGTAACAACCACATTAATTAGGTTGAGAGAATAGTCAGTTCCTAGGTTTCTTTGTTTTACCATTTTTTTCCCTGTGAAAAAATAAATTGAATTTGAAATAAAGGAGCATACATGTTCAAGCTTTTTTTTTTTTTTTTTTTTTTTTCCTTTTTGTCTTTTTCCGTGTCCGGCAACGGATCGCAACCCTCAGTGTCGCCCCCGTACCGGACCGGGACCAGCAACGGGATCGCAACCCTCGGTGTTGCTCCCGCGCCTCGCTCAGCCAGTGAGCGGGAACTGGTCTGTATGTGGGATCCGAACCCTCGGCGGGAGCGCCGCCATGCTTCCCAAGCGGCGCACTATAGCAGTGCGCCACCAGGCCGGCCCAAGCTTTTAATTTTATTAAATGTTTACCTTTTTGGCACCTATATGAATGTGTGTATGAACCCATCACCTGTATAGTTTTAGTAATAAAGCTTCTGAAGATTTAGAAGTTTGACTTTACCCATGTTTCAAGTGCAGTTGTGGGACTAGTGCTCAAACATGGTAAAAGATTCTTGATTGTTTCTTATATATTTTTCCTGTCCTGCCCAAATTTTGTCATCTGGAAGCTCTCATTGGTATGTAAAAATTAATAATATTTAATTATTTATAAATTTAATATTTTAGTTTAAAATCTTTATTATATTGAATTACTTCAATTTGACATAGATATGAAGTGGTGTCTTGTTTTTACTAATGAAGCAAGAAATTCTTCTTTTTTCAAAACTTATATTTTTGCTTTGTGATCAGTTTATGAATCTTACAGAATATAGTGTAGTACTGTTAGCACAGTGCTTTCCAAAGTTTGTCTCTTTAGTTCTAATTGCTTTTTTTAGTACTTTCAAATCACAGGTAACAAGTGCTTAAAATATTAAGTATTTTTTCCAATATTCCATAGGGTATGAGCTGTTTATAAGTCTCATTTTTCCTTTTCTAAGAAGTGCTAATAACTAGGATTATTCTATAGGAACAATTAAAAATAATATTCCATTTTACTTACCTGATTAAAGTTTTGGTCAATGTTAGATGGGTATATTTAGCTCTTTTTATTTTTAATGGCAATGGAGAGTAGGGAAATAGTGTTACGAGACATATAGATGTTAGCAATTCAAAAATTTTTTCTACCTACAACATATTATGAGTTTTTCCCTTAGGAAGCATGAAATTAAGATGAATTTATGTTGTCTTTCCTAGTGTACAAAAATTGATGATATGAGACCATCACCCAGAAGCAGATGGCAAGGGAGCTGGATTTTAGAAATATATATGATCCATAAAGTTAATAATTAGAGTGAATGGTATCTGACAAAAAACATAAGTTTTATTTAGTATTTTCCTATTTATTTTTAAAGGATATTGTCCTAAGGTGCAGCAGTCAAGAAATTTATCTTTTGAAAACCTCAGAAGCATGAAAAGTTTACATGGTTATGTGGGTGTTTTTCCATTGTTCAATAAAACTCTTTGTAGTTTTCATCAAATTATATAATATGATTACTATCATATAAACCACGAATCTTTGTTAATTTAATTTATGCTACTTCAAATGATTTCTTAAAAAAACACTTTCATCAAGGTCAGAGATTGTTTCCATTGCATGTCATCCCACATGGCAGGGCTGCACCATTTGTTTGTTCACAGGTATTTCCTTTAACATTTCTAACCAAATGTCTGTCCCAAAGCAAAGAAACCCAGAAGTTCTTCCTTTTCTAGCCTGCCTCTTGATGATTTGCCTTCAGAGGCAACCCATCTCATTTTATCTAGATGCTTATTTAACAAATCTCTCTATTATAATGGTAAAGTGATACCTTTTTAAGTGGCAAGAAAACCTAACAGTGTTTAGTAAAAGGCTTAAAAATGGAAAAACATCTCCTAATCATTTTCTCAGCTTTGGAGAAGTACCTTAATTTTTTAAATTAGAAATTCTAAATATGTCTAAATACAATTTCTAGAGCTTTGTATTAGTATCAATGAAAAGGTAGAATCTCTTTCTGCTAAGTGATTAATAACTAATGTTTACAATAGAAATCATCTCACATGAAACTAATTTTTAAATAATGACTCAAATATTGTTTTACCTTTCATGCTTAATGAGAAGTTTTGCTTCCTTTTGGCTGTGAATTTTTTTTTTAAGTCTTTAGGCTTTTTTAATGTTTTAATAAATTAGAATTAGTAAATATGCAATAAATAGCTTATTTAGCTTTTTCTTATAAAGAAGATTGGAAGTAAATTGTTTGCCTAATAATTTCCAGTAATGAGCAGAACCATATAAATAGTTGGGTGAATCATTTGTAGTAATAACTGATTATTTTGCCTATAAGTATTTTATATGAAATTAAGGCCAAGTTAATTTGTGGTTGTCTCCTGTTTGATATCAGTTTTAAAATGATTAGTTTTCTATTTTGCTTATCAAATCAAACGTTTGGCTGTATTATCTGCTGAAAGTTTGAAAATAAAGCATGATTTATTGCAGTGCTTTACTGTATACAAATAGATATTTTTATTCACAATATGAATTTATTTCAACTTCATAATAAAAGCAATTATTTTGGGAAAAGACTTTAGTTTCTTTTGGAGGAATCTCAAAAAACTATAAATTTATACTTTAAGACAATTATTATTTAGTGATAGCATAAAGGATAACAGCTTTTGTTAGCATGTAAATTTATGACATAAAATGAATCAAAATACAGTAAATTTATTTTCCTAGTCTGTGGTTTTAAAATGCTTGTTCTTTACTTCAGTAGTTATCTCATATTGACATAAGTTTATATAAAGCAAAACAAAACAGTGCACTTGTCAAAACATAATTACCATAACCTGATTTTCAGTGTTTTCCCAAATATTTCATTTATAACAACAATGGAAGTAAATTATATTTATGAAAATTTAATCTATTTTGTATTTATTTAGACGCTGGTTTTCAATACAGAATAATCAGTTGGTTTACCAGAAAAAGTTTAAGGTAGGTGTTTTGTAAAGTAAGTAAGTGAAAACGCAGTGAATCCTTAGTTTCAGTTCTTTATTTGTTTATCTTGGTAAACATTGAAGTCCATAGATACTTATGTATACAAAATTACTGTAATTACTGTTTATTAGTTTATGTTTAGGTATGTATATGAGGACTTTAAAGTGGAAAATATCAACATTTGATCCTTAAGAACAGAGTGATTTTTTTTTTTTTGTCCTTTTTGTGACCGGTAAGGGGATCGCAACCCTTGGCTTTGCGTTGTCCGCACTGCGCTCAGCCAGTGAGCGCACAGGCCATCCCCATATAGGATCTGAACAGAGCGCCTCTGCGCTCCCAGCGCCGCACTCTCCCGAGTGCGCCACGAGGTCGGCCGAACAGAGTGATTTTGAATTCTGAATTCTTAACTCGTGGCGTGAGATGGATTTTTCTGTGTCCGAGGGTTATTACTTTTATTTATGTTTTTTTTTTCTGTCTAGTTCTGTGACAGAAATAATATTACCATTTCATAGCACTATTGTGAGGTTGAAGGAGAGTATACCTTTTAAGAAATATCACCTTAAGGCCAAAGGTGATAATATAGAAAGCTTAAAAATTACATTAATTAAAATGTTATTCTCAAAGTAATTCCAATAGAAACCCCTAAATTAGCTAATATTGTTTTTATATATGTTTGTTTTTCTGAACGTTATTTAAAGGGTGAGGAAATTTTATTTATTGGAAAGGCATACTGGAAAGACCATTAGGTAACTGATGATTTGCTTTTCACCTAGTTAGCCTTTATGAACTATATTCTGTAAACTGTAAATTTTGAATATCCACTTAACTCTTGAGATGATGTAATATGAAATTTTACTCACTAGGTTCTATGGTAGCAGCTTTGTTCCATACAAATCCTTACTTACAGCTAATTAGTTCATGGTTTCTTTTACTCTGATAACTCAGTTTTGAGTTTATATTTTTATTAAGTAGTAGAAAATAAAACCTTTCTCATTTTCTTAGGTACTTTAAGAAGGATTGATAAGCTTTGTATCTTTCTTTGAGTTATTTAAAGTTTGATTCATTAAAGGCTTGTCTTTTGGAGGAAAGTAGCTTTTATTATATGTGAGTGGGGATCAGGAGAGTAATGGATGTAAAGCAGATTGAAGAAAATTAACCAGAAAGTAACATTTATTGAGCATCTATTAAGTACCAAGTATTGGACCAAGCTCTCTTTATAAACTATTTCACTTAATCTATATACAATAATTTTATTAGGCAGATAAAATTATTAAGAGGACAGAATTACTTTTATTAGTTTTAGGTATGTCAATAAAACCCATCTGTATCTAAAGTAAGATAAAATATAAATCTTTAAAATTGGACCATTTATTACAAGTAATATTTTTAAGTGTGTTATTATTGGTAGTACTATTTAAAATTTAAGTTGATAAGTATGGAAACGATTTTTCTTTATTGCAGGATAACCCCACTGTCGTAGTTGAAGATCTCAGGCTTTGTACAGTGAAACATTGTGAAGATATAGAACGAAGATTCTGTTTTGAGGTGGTCTCTCCAACAAAGTACGTGGTTCTGAAGTATCAGAGAATTGCTTTTATGTTTCTATAGTTTATCTTAAAGAACTTTTCAGAGTAGAGAAATTTGCATTTGACTTGTGATTATCTGTGCTAAAGAGGAAAAAAGTGTTTTAAAAATAAATTTCAGGGGCCGGCCCAGTGGCGCACTGGATAGTGCGCCGCTTGGGAAGCGCGGCAGCGCTCCCGTCAGAGGGTTCGGATCCCACGTACAGACCGGCTCCCGCTCACTGGCTGAGCGAGGCGCGGGAGCAACGCCGAGGCCTGGGGACCCCCCACCCGGCCCCGGGCACGCACGGGGGC